AATATACATGTACAAACGCCGAAAAAATGAGAGATACTGTTTTCCACCTCCTACAACCCCTAAAGCCTAATTCTAACTACTGAAACGAGAACAAAGGAAATTTAAGTGATTTGTACCTTTTTGGCTTTTGCCTATAGCTCCACCGCGTGCAGAACAGGGGCCAAAAATTAGAGGACAGACGAAAATGAGTGACATGGTTTTTCGTGATGTACATGTCATATAACAACCAAAAAATATATCTGACTGTTTAAATTTTTTGTGATTGTTATACTTCCTCGCCAGTGGGCGTGTGAAGTAAAAATAAAAAGCTAAACGTACCTTTCAAGTTGAGCCAGTATGAGACCCTATTGGGCATCATAGCTCTGGAGTGACCAGTTATACCAAAACCACTTACAACGGATTCCAAGAATAAGTTATCGTTCTCTCCAATTGATGAACCAATGTAAACACCAATTCTTTTTCCTCTGACTTCAGTGGGGTTCACACCTTAAATTTAAAAAAGGATTGAAACATTTTTGGAACTTTACAAGTTTTAAAAACCTAATCAGCATTAGCAGGAAATTTCAAAACACAAAATATACTTTAAATTGATTCTAGACAAAACTACTTCTTTTGAGAGAGGTTCAGTCTGATTTTGATTAACAAGCTAGTTGACCATTTATTCTCTTTTTGGAATCTTACCAGCATCAAGAAGAGCCTCAAAGGTCCTTTCTAAGCAAAGCCTGTGCATAGGGTCCATGAACGTACATTGCTGTCGATGGATGCCAAAATATGAGTTGTCGAAATGGTTGGAGTCGACCTCTCCTATCATGTTGCACACACCTCCCGCAGCTTTAAACATTAAACAGTTATTATAATACGCAGATTTATATCCAGATCATAAAAACCGTAATCATAATTGCCAACAACCCTACGTGATTTTACAGGCAACTTTCTTGTAACAGTAACACCTTGAGAGAATGGATAATTATGTACTGCTTTTAAACAATAAAAAAACTCGCCCTTGAGGTAAGGGACAAAATTTTTCTGCGTGTTCCTCAGGTCAATTCGAGTCGAAAAAATCGTATGAACATGGGTCCGCAAATGCTTCCTTATCGAGGTATGATTTTTTTATTTTTAGTGGGCGAAAACCAGAATACTGTTGGAAAATTGGTTTTATTTAACAAAAAAATCAATACTGTTCGTATGAAAACAACTGTTAACAATAATTAAAGTCCACATTCACGTTGTACTGCCCGATTAACACGCTGGTGTTTGTTTGTTGCCGGAGTATTTGTGTCTGTTTGATTGAACTTTGCAAAAATTACTGTCATGTTTGTTTTTACAAGTGAGGAATACGGTGACGTGATGTTTGTCTACGGATGTTGTAGCGGAGAATCGAAGATTACATGACAGAAGGATATTTGGCAAATGCTACCGTAACACGTCCGTCAGAAGCTGCCCATGACTTAATACTGGATAGTGAACGGTCACCATCAACCAGAGTCGGCAGAATATCACAACGCACTGGTGTTAGCCGAATGACTGTGTGGAGAACAATGCATAACTTTGGTTTGTACCCATTTCATCTGCAACCTGTCCAAGCTATGCTGCACACTGATCCGGACCCTCGTATGCAGTTTTGGAACTGGCTCCTCGCAAATCGTAATCTTGTTAAAAAGGTTTTGTTCGCCGACGAATCTACTTTTACTCGAGACGGCATCAATAATTTGAGGAATTCCCATTCTTGGCAGCTTAAAAATCCCGACGCAACTATCGAACAGAATTTCCAACAGCCTTTTTCTGTTAATGTCTGGTGCGGTTTGTTAGGAGATCACTTAGTTGGCCCTTCTGTGTTTTACGGTCGGTTGACATCTGAAGTTTATCTTCCATTCTTATGAGAAGAACTGCATGTGTTGTTAAAGGATATTCCGCTGCAGAGAGGACAACATATGTGGTTACAGCATGATGGTGCTCCGCTCCACAGTGGTAGAAATGTAACTGAGTATTTAAATAACACTTTTGGGCGTTGGATTGGACGAGGGGGCGCAGTTTCTTTGCCACCCCGCTAGCATGATTTAAATCCCTTGGGTTATTACATGTGGGGACATATGAAGTATTTAGTGTATGCAGAGAAATCGCAGACCAGGGCTGAACTGCTCCGCAAAATTACTGATATCGCTGACGACATAAGAAGTAATCGTCTTGTTATTGGGAAATCCACCATTCACATTATTAAACGGACTAGACTATCTTTACAGTGTGAAGGTGGACACTTTGAACAACTATTGTGAATAGTTATTTTTATTGTACCTAGTAATTTTGTGTTAAATAAAAGTAATTTTCCAACAATACTGCCGGTTTTCCCACCATTAGCACTCGAAAAATAAAAAAATCATTATCTCGATAAGGAAGCATTTGCGGACCCATGTTCACAAGACTGTTTCCACTTGAATTGACCTGAAGAACACGTAGAAAAATGTCGCCCCTTGTCTCGCGGACACCCTGTATAAGCATGACCAGTTGGCCCTCAAATGGGCACACACACACACCCACACACATACACACGCACACACACACATATATATATATATATATATAAGGTTTTTTGCAAAAGTACACTCTTTTAACTTAGACTCAAGCTTTCGACGGTCTATGCCATCATCATCGAGAGCTGGAACAAATTTTGTAAAGTAGCAACAATAGGTAATTAAAAGGAGTATCATTGCTTACTAAGTCGGCGAGATTGTTGCTGAAATTGTTCTTAGAAAGAAGTAGATGAGAACACATAGTCAACGAGCAAAAATCTGGATTGTTGAGTTTGGATTAGGAAGAAAAGTTTTTTAAATTGTAAAACAATCTAGTTCTTCAATCCGAATACCTTACACGACTAGTGTGCTACATACGCTTGTCTAGCAGCAAACAGTCGCGAGCCCAGATAAATGACTGCATGATCGACTGTACAACCTTGCAACTTGTAGACGGTCGAAGCCCAACTCAGGATTAATGGCAACATTAGCAATGAACAAGGTGAGAATGCACGACCTTGAAAAAGTATCTGCCTCCGTTGTGCTGTGCCGAGTGTCCGAACCAACAAAGAGTAAGTCCGAAACTGCACGCATGCGCAGATCGCGCGCTAGCTCTATCTCTCTTACTTCCCTTTAGAGGATCTTTAAAAGAATTTATCAATAATGGCGGTCCTAATAATGGTAATGGACAACTGTTATCAAATTATTGCATTGTCATCGGTCCTTGATACGTGTGCGAAGTTTCAAATTAATCAAATTGCTGGAAATTAGTGAAAATTATGCTCAAAGATCCCGTTACGTAGATACATACATATGTACATACATATATACATACATACAGGCCAAGCTAATAAAAACGTGTTAAAAAAGATACTGGGTGCATCCGATTAATTGTGAGAGAGATGAAACAGGAGAGTTCTTTTTCCTGCATGGCTTGAAGATGAAGATCGATTTTTTTATTTACTTCCGAATGTCATCAAGTAGTTCTACTGCATTGCATGATTATATAAACAAGGCTATCTACACAAGAAAGATTGGCGGTATTTTCCTATTCTCGTGGCTATTTCCAGCCATGCTGCATTTTTGTAAACTATTTTTATAGTCTGAGTTACTAAGATCATATAAAAAACGCCTTCCCCTTACTAAATCAATTAATTTTTCTATGGAAGCCATCTTGCGAACGAGGCGTTCCACGAGTTCTTTGTATTTCTGACAATAGAACGCAAGAACGCGAGCGTTGTCACTGACCGACGCGGTCTGACTGCCGCTATGTCTGCGCGACTCTATAGAGATCTATTAGTTACAAAGAACGTGGACCGCAGAACGCGGAACTGGAAACGCTTGAACGCTTTCTGTCTGCGCGAGCAATAAGATCGAGAATTGATTCCAATGGGAGGCTCTAGGTAACTTTACATGGTACATGATGGATTTTTTTTTTAGATTTTTAAACAATTACTAATATAGAAAAACAAAGAAACATTAAATAAAATATTCTTTTTGTTCATGTTGCCCGTGACTTACAATCACCAAAATAATATAAATATGTTGTGCCTCTCTTTACGAGTGCTATTACTCCAAAGAAGTGCACCACGAAAAAGTTGGCGAAAGAATTAAAAAAAAAAATAAAAAAAAATGTCACATATAACACCGACAAAAGAAATGCTTTAGTTTTTTCCATTGTCTTTATATTAGTACATTGAGTCTGTTTGTATTATTTGTACTTAACCTGTGATGATGAAAACTGTACGTGACCATCCAAATTTAGCATATGTAGTGGTGAAGATAAGGTGAGATACTAACCTTGAGGCCATCTTGCAGTCAGCTGGGATTGGTTCTCGTAGAGACGTTGCTTAAGTTCTTCCATGTTTGAAGCCTTGGCAAAATGGGCTCCAATTCCGGATATGACAACATCTTCCTTAATGATATCCAACATCTTGCTTTCCTTTAAAAATATATTTTATTGCTATAATAACATGAAAGAATATCGATATTTCAACACGTAATCTCGCTTCTTCCATTTTCTCAATCATCGAATAAAAGGCACTACACAAAATAAGTTGAGTAACCTGTCATCTGTGGTCTGAATTTCTTGTATATTACAGGGTGTAACTTGAGACACGTAGGCATCTTCTTGTTGCTTTTTATAGCTTACTAGCCGAGCACAAATTAATTGATGTCTTCTACATATTATTATAACTTTTGTCTGTTTCTGTTGATGATTCAGTTCGAACTAGGACGTTTATCAATAATTTTCTGGGTTTCATACAAATGTACTTTCAACTAAATATGTATATCAGTTCATGAATAATCGAGAGCAGCAGATAAAAGCTATATCAAGTAATAAGCTTTGTCTACATACATGGAAATATTCAATACAAATATAAAGATTATTAATTCATACTTGTAATGGAATATTGAACTTGACTTTTCAAAGTTCTCACGAATTTGCATTCAATAGTATGGTATTTTTGAAGGTGCTTCTCGTATGATATAATTAACTATTTATTTTGTGTATTTTTTATATGCACTGCCCATTTTTACATGACTCGTGATTGAGGACGTGACCACATTTTGGTCAGCTGTCTCGGTATTTATTGCTTGATCCTGCTAAATATGATGATCTTTTGCTCATCACAACTGTGAAAACTGAAATTTTAGTCCAAATAAAGCAGGAATTCTAAGTCCTTGAAAGTAATAACTTTAATAAAATTCTGTTATCAGCCGAATCCTGCAGATTCTTCAACGGTTTTGTTTGATTTAGTGAAGAGATTGTGTTTTTCTATAACTAAGCCAATATCAGGGTAGAAGGCCTCTCCGCTAAAACATAAATAGGGAAAGTCTGTCCTGTGTATAAGAGTGGAGACAAAAATAATGTAACTAATTATAGGCCTATATCAATTGTTTCTGTGTTCGCAAGGATCTTTAAGATCATTTTGCACAGCCGCATTTATTCGGAAACAGCTCTCGCTTTATCAGCACGGATTTACTGCCAAGAGACCTGCTATCACTAATTTACTAATAGTCACTCAATACATGTTAGAAGCTCTTGATGCTAGGTAGACGTAATATATCCGGATTTCGCTAAAGCTTTTGATATAATTGATCATAGCGTATTGGATGACAAATTAGCAGATTTTGGATTTTTTGATGAGGCTGAACTATAACATCTGATAAGTAGGAAGCCTATGGAGCTATATCTGGAGTTTTACAAGGATCAAACTTGGGACCATTACTTTTTCTAATATTTAACAACACTAATTGCTTAGAACTTAAGGACTAGCTTGACCTGATTCAGAACTGGTATAAAAATAATAAATTAACACTAATATATCTACATATAAATGCAAGGTGGTGAGTTTCACAAGGTAGAGACAATTTATAGATTGTTGATATTGATGAAAAGAACCTGATTGGATGTACGTAGGTTAGGTACTTAGGTGTTATTTTCGATTGTAAGTTACCTCTCTCTCAACATATTGAGAACTATACCTGGAGCACTAAGAGCATATTGGTTTTTGATGAAGTATTGTAGGAATTTTAACAATATCAGAACTATTAAAATACTTTATTTCTATTAGATCTAAATTTGAATACGCCAGCATTATATGGAATCCATATTATGAGGTGTACAAGATTTGTGTTGAACGAGTTCAGCAAAAAATTCTTAAATGTTTCATTTAAAGTTGATGGCATTTATCCCGAAAGGGGAATCAATAATAATGAATTATGTAGCATATTTAAAATACCTAGCTTAAGACACGGTGGCGTTGTTTTGATTTAAATTGCTGATCATTCTGATGTTCTGGAGCAAGTTGGACTTTTATATTCATATCGTCGTTATGCGACATTTAAGCTACCTAGAGTTAAGACTATAATATGTTATTTAGGTCTCCAGCCTATGTTATGTGTGATAAATTAACATATATTTCCAGCCGTTGTGATATATTTTTCTGTTCACCGAATGAGTTTAACAGAATAGCAACGACGCAGTGGAATTAATTTTGATACCTTGTTTTTGGGTTACCCTCATCTGTGTTTAGGGTATTGTTATAATATATTATAATTTTTTCTTCAGTTTCTACAGTATATTGTTTTGTCAACGCATAATAGCATACAAGGGCATGCAATTTAATTGCTACATTATCCTGTAAATGGGAAACCGTTAGATCATAGAGCCATTATTATTGTTGATATCATTATAATTATTATTATTATAAGAGGACTTATGGTAAAACACATTTTGCAATATGAAGATAAAATGAGAAATGAGAAAGTTCAGGATATAATCGACAACTGAAGTAGAAATTTTCTTATTGTTCAAATCATCGGTTGCGTTTGTTAGGACATTGTTGACACATTCATCACCTAAGGTGACCTGTCAGTATAATTATTTCTTATGATCATCTTTTAGCCTGATGTGGTGGCGTAGTGGGTGGTGCAAGCTATTCGTCTGCTAAGCTAATCGCCGTGAGCTGCGAGAGTTGGGTTCCCGTCCCAAGGGAATTTTTCTCTTGGTTATCGATTGCCCATAGATGGTAGACCATCGAGCGTAAAGAATCGCTAAAATGAAGTCAGAATCTCCTCAATTCTCATGCCACGTCCGCCTCACCCTGTATCCCTTATAGCTCCATGGTACCCACAGATATCTATGCCTCAAATATATAAAACACAGAGTATTTTTAGAGCAGTTGAATGTATCTTCTTGTTGTTTAATGCTATCAATAAAGCTGGAAAATTCTCCTATTGAGATAGGTCCTACTATATCAAGAATTTTATTTATTTATTCATAATTTCCAACAGGAAAATTATAGGAAATATACCAACAACGAAAATAAATACGAACATACAAAAATAAAAATATAAATAAGTGTATACAAGTATGTTAGCACTGAAATGTGGAAATAGCTTTTAACATATTGATTCTATATCACACCAAGGTACCAATCTCGGTAGCAATCCAATACAGATTTTTCTCGATTATAGAAGATATCACAAATGGAACAAATCGCATTGAAACACTTACACATATAGTTCAACGGTGATTTACATTTTGTATTACAAACGGCAGGGTAAAACAAATTCTGATAGCGGCTACCTAACTTAGCGACTCGAACATTAATTTTGCTAAACATTAAGGGGCAATCAATTTGATTATTCAATACTTTATGTAAAGATCTTATCACAGATAAATCACGGCTCAACTTGAAAGTGCCGAATGGTCAAAAATAAAAAAAAAATATTTAAGTGCCTTACGCTGCTTGCACTCAATGCTCGCTGTGTAGTTTGGATAGATATAAGACCAGATGATAGATGCGTGCTCCAGCTCACTCCTGATAAAAGTGAAATACGAGTATCATCGAAGCTCGACCAATTTCTGACGCAATACCCTAATGCTTTAAATGTTGTATTCACCATATGAAGGGTGTGGGCAATGGTGATGTATAAGCAAAACAAAATAATTACTACAACTCAAAAATACCGTGAGGATGTGAATTATTCAGGTAATATGACGTTAGTTTCTCATTTTTGGTGCAGATATATCGAATTATGTTCCTTTCAAAAACACCTAAGGTACATGTATAAGCTAAAACTAAATAACCTAATATCGAGACGGAAACTGCAATTATTCTCCTAAGCTTTTATAGTTTATTAATTGTTGTAATATCAAAACCTGGAACCTACCGTAGAGTTCCTTCTACACGGCACAACCTCAACTCCAGCAGGGAACAAAGTGAACTTGTGTAAGGTCCTCCACCGTCATTAATGCATGATGAATTAATAATTTGAAAAAACAATTGAATATGTTAATATTTTGCCATTTGACCGCTACTTGAACGTTTTCCCCAAAATTGTTAAACTATGTTCCTTTTAAAAATTACCTAAGATCTAAACCCATGGAAACTAAATAGCTTAATATCGAGACGAAAACTGAAATTAGTCTTCTAATCTTATAATTTATTGATTGCTCTAATGTGAAAAATGGAACCTACCGTGGAGTTCTTTCTACACGACACAACCACAAGCCTAGCACGGAACAAAGTGAACTCCTGCAAGGTCTTCCACCATTATTTATACATGACGAATTAATATCTGTTTTTAATTTGAAAATACAATTGAATATGTTAATGTTTTGCCATTTGACCGCTACCTGTTTTGAATGTTTTCCCAAAAATTAATATCCTTCTATTTAATCTGTTATGCAGTTACTACGATATGATGGAATATCATCGTTCATTACTAATCCATATTATATTCGTTAGAGTGCATCCATATACTGTAAATCAGTCAGTCTGGTCGTTTAAAATATCCATTCCGCTTTCGTTTGTCAGTCGTTCCATATGAAACATTGAAACCACCGATTCGTATTCCCCTGCCGTTTTTTGAGAAATTGAAAAAAACTGAATCGATTTTCTGGTTAAACCGTAAGTAGTACAGAAAAGTTTATAAAATAAAAAAATGGCATCAAGGAGACTTACTCTATACGTGCCACGTAACGCCGTCATCAGATCATAACGGATTATGTTCTGCACAAGTTAGACCCTATCAAAACAAGATGGCTGTCCTGGGATTGTTGATGTGCTGTTGCTGCTAGTCCATAGTTACAGAAACCAGCCCTAGACCATGCTGATGACTTGCCAAAAAAGCACCAAACAGCTGTTTGTGGTAGGCTGTATTTGGTTGGGCCGACGAAAGGAGCATGTTTAAGTTAGACCCTACAAGAAGAAAGTAAGTTACGAACCTGTATAACAGAGGAAATTAAATGGATCAAGTCCGCCAAACAGGTCCACAAAAATAGTCCTTAACATCATATCCCTGCCCTACCTGTAGTACCGTCTGTCTGGCAATGTCGCATCGCCTCTCCCCTATATCTGAAACCGTGATGCGTCACATGCGGCATTACGCCCACAAAGCACCAGTCATGTAGGGAACATGAAAACACCGGCACGCCAGCCGCGGCCATTGTAGTCAGTAGACACAGGTATGCTTGTCAAAAACATTTTTTAATCGTTCCGATAGGTACACCTTCCGCCAGCTGAAAATATGTTTGTCTGAATAGAAAATCTTCGGCGCAATCTATGATGTGAGAAATATGTCTAATAGGTGCGTTGACTTTTCGGGGCTTGAAGTGTATCAATACACTATTATCAAAAAATTGCGATATACCCTCCCCAGTCCCCTACAACCTCTCACCTCTCAATTTTTAACACCTAATAAGTTTATCGAAAAAGATCTGCATCTTTTAAAACTTCAAAAAACGAAGTTTTAGCGATTTATATTTTTTTTGTTTAGTTTTTGGCCTTGTCCTCCGCTGGCACTGGACCAATTTTCAAAAATACACAGCTTTTAGCCTTTGGCATAGTAGTTACCTAAAATGAACCCACAGACAAACAAACTGACAGACATACGGTAATGAGTGACATGGTTTTTCGTGATGTACATGTCATATAACCACAAAAATATACTAAGTGACATAAAAATCCGAACACCCAGTTTAAATGGTTTTATTTTAATAAAAGTTGGTGAATGTATTTATCTTACTGTAAATAACAAGTGAAAAAATGTTCAGCCTTATCAGTTGGAGATTCCTGTTTTTATACTGCTTTTTTAGAGACCTGTACGATTTCGTCAACTTAGTGAGTTTGATAGGGGCCGTATAGTGGGACTTCGGGAAGCTGGACTTTCTTTTCGGGCAATTGCAGTTAGAGTGCAAAGAAGTGTAGACACTGTGGTTAAGTGTTGTCAGGCATGGCTTCGAGAAGGCCGTACGCAAAGAGCAAGGGGCACTGGACGCCGCCGTAGAACAACAGACCGTGAAGATCGCCGCCTAAGATTATTGGCCTTAAGGGACCGTTTCTCCACTACCAAGTCCATTGCAAATGAATGGTTTGCAGAACACGGAAGACCTATTGGCATGCGAAGTGTTTACCGACGAATGAGAAGTTTTGGCTTGTTTTCATACCGGCCATACTGGGTCCTCCCTTTAACTCGAGAACACCGACGTAATCACCTTGAGTGGTGCAGACAACGGTCACTCTGGGATCAGGAATGGAACAGTATTGTCTTTAGTGACGAGTCTCGATTTTGTTTAGGCATGCACGATGGTCGTGCCAGGGTTAGAAGGCAATGTGGTGAAAGGAGGAATCTACAGTTTTTTGTTGAAAGACATGTTCCTCACACTGTTGGAGTTATGGTTTGGGGTGCTATAGCTTATGGTTCCAGGTCACCTTTAATCTTCATCAGAGGTAACATGAACGGGCAGCGTTATATCCACGAAGTTCTAGAACCCCATCTTTTACCCTATCTTGACACCCTGGCAGATCCAACTTTCCAACAAGATCATGCCCGACCACATGTTGCAAGAGTCACAATAGACTTCTTTCACCATAATTATGTCACATTGTTACCATGGCCACCAAGATCTCCCGACTTATCCCCAATTGAGCACGCGTGGGATATGATGGGTAGGAGATTACTCAATTTGCAACGTCCTCCTCAGACTCTAGAAGCACTTTGAGAGGAGTTGGTGGTTGCCTGGAATGAGATACCACAGGAGGACACTGACCACCTGATCAGAAGCATGCCTAGGCGCGTTGGAGAATGCGTAGCACATCAGGGTGCATCCACACATTATTAAAGGTCAAAGGGCTTTAAAGCAGTGCAATAATTTTGAAATTTTTATCATTTACTTATTATGCTTCATTAAGTACTTATACAAAATTTTATTAAAATAAAACCATTTAAACTGGGTGTTCGGATTTATATGTCACTTAGTATAGATATATCATTTTCGAAAAGTGTTGCGATTACAATACTACCTCGCCAGTACGTGTGGGATGTAAAATGAAGATAATTAAATCCTCCTTCACAAGTGTGAGACATAAGCCAGAAAGCCTCCGGTTAATCCTGATGATAAAATCCATACTGTTTACTTTATTAAGGCGTTAATACTCAAAAAGTACAAAATGTTCGGACAGTTGACATGATAAGATTAGAACCATCATTATAACATGATTATTCACAATTCATTGTTACACTTTTTCTTAGAGATAATACCAACATTAGATTTCTTTGAAACAGGAATCCGGTAGTACAACAACTTGTAGCCGATGGAACGCTCAAACAGGGAAGTCTTATGTACAGGTATGGGAATGCTTAATACCTCTACATCTCGTACATTGACGCTGGGTTCCGTATAAATACATCAGATGTAAAGATCGCCTATTTTTAAGATTCAACCACTTCATACTGTTGGTAAGAGCAGCAAGTTCACCGCATATGAGCCTTACACAAGCATTTTGGAGAGACTGTAACTTCCTTTCTGACACCTGGTCCAAATATTGGCCATAGTTTGTGAAATTTAATACTAAACTATCATACAGCTGTTTACGTAGATTTCTATGTAGGAAGTTCCTACTACGATATAATTTTTTTTCGCTGTTATATTTACATGTTCGAAACTAACTTTTTACTCGGAGTGTCCAAACATCAAACGATCTGCTCAGACAGGCAGAGAGCCATAAAGGCATTAAGTTCATCAAATACGTCATCTCTCAAACAGCGGGGAAACCGAAACAAGGTAACATACAGCATAACAATACGGATGAGCTAGCCCGACAGGGAGCGACCAATCGCCTTATAGGTTCAGAGCCTTTTTGTGGTTTAACGAGAACACGCATTAAACAGTCCCTAAGAAATTGGATCAAGAAAAATCAAGAATGGTGGAACAGCCAATTAGAGCAAAGGCAGGCGAAAGAGTTCAGCAAAGAACGAAGGTCCTTATTTATAGAGGACCTACTTGGAGCTAATAGGGCCATAGTGGGCCATAGTGGGTCTAATAACTCTAAATCGACATATGAGGCTCTTGGGTCTGACAGAAGAGACCACGAGCCATATCTACAGATAGCATAAGGAAACCCCAGTGCATCTCCTTTGTCACTCCGAAGGGCTGGCAAGGCTACGTTTTCAGATAGCTGGAATCACAAATCCAACAGCGGAAAGCCACACACAAAGCTCTGTGTTCAAGGCTATGCAGTCTGGTTAAAGGACCAAGGCTAGACATAGTTATTTAGAAAGTGTATATGTGGAGTTACAATAGATCCATTTGGATCGTAGTGACGTTAAGGCTAGCAAGTCAACCCATTTTTTGTAACCTGTAATCTGTATGTTTCGGCACTTTTGATATTCTGGAAACATAGCTTCGGGGTCCCTGTATACCCTCAAAAAGTATTACCACTATCTATATATAGGTGGCGCATGGTCCCAAAACTACGTCCATCTCAAAACTATACCGAGTGGTCCGCAAATAACTGCGCGTCCATCCTGGGCGCGAGGCGCCGCGACGGCGACATTAGCGTCCCGACAACAGTGGGCGTTTCGCCACCGACTCGAACGTCGCAATCGTCTCCTTGCATCGCTGTTTCTCTCCCGTAATCCCGTTCCGTTCCTGGATGCAAGTCCAAAGTCGCGACGCGATTATATAGTACGGGACGTCGGGACCACGATCGGGAACCTTGTGTAGACTTCTTTCCGAACCCAATCGTGTGACAAAAGACCGATGCGGTGTCTGGACAGGTGACCGGAATCACGAGACCAAACCATCGATGCGACGCGAAGTTGCAGGTATGTATTTATCAGGGGCGTGCTTAAAGGCCTAAGGCAAGACTTAACGCTAGTAACACTGTAGAAACATTTTTGTTTGAGGATTAAAACAGTAGTTTTATTGTGGTGAATAACAATGGTAATGGTTTTGAAGTTACCTTGCAGATATATTGCCAGAACTGTTTAGTATTGAATACTGGTTTTAAAGAATCTAATAAGATCATGAAATAGTATAATAATAATAATAATAATAAGAATGATGTTTATTATCCAACATACGAACAAATGATTATAAAGAAAATCGCTCAGACACATAAACATGAAAGAAAAGTCGCAGAAGACTAGCCTTATACGCTGGTATGGTTGAGTGTATAAAAAGTCACTTGTAAGAAGTAAGTACATAAAATGATTTACACCGGATGCCAGCAGATTCACACACAT